CATGTGAGCTCAAACATTTCTATTATTGCTGGCCATTCAACAGGAAAAAAAAAAAGCCAGGGTGTTCCCTTTTGTGCTTACTTACGCCTATATTCTAATACACCAGTACCATCTTTAACAATTCAGCTGAGGCTCCCCCTGCCCCCTTGCTTTGTGTAGGGAAACAACTTTTTGAAATAACCTGGGTTATTCCTGAAACAGGTCATCATCCTGAGATTATCTATTAAGGAAAGTTTACAGTTGGAACTACTGAAAAGCCCAGATGCAGGAAAGACGTCCTCCAAATGCAAATATCACAAACATAACATGGCAGGCAGATATCAAACCAATCTCAGGTTCTGCTGTACAAGCTTTGCTCTCTGGGATCAGCACAGACACAGAAGAAAAGCTGAAATGATCCCACACAATACACCCACATGCATTACCCACTGGGTTCCACAGCTAACTTGTGTTGACTGAGGCAAGCACTGCAGGTTTGTGGCAAACTGGGCATTTCTCCAGGACTGACGTGGACAGTCAGATGGGGTGAAATGCCACATATGACATTATACAGGGCAATGCTCCATTGCAAGCATTCTCTTTTCTTGACTCAAACGTTCAAAGCCATGCTTTTAGCTTGCATAGCTGAGATGCATGCACATGGCAATAAAACTATGCTGGTATGAGGCACAGCTCTTCCAGAGTTCCCAGGCCCACGCTCGGAACAATGTCTGCACAATTCACTGCTATTCCTCTACCCCCTTGGGATCTCACAAAGCAGAAAAGGTTTTGGAGAAGCAATCAGTCCTGTGATTTGTTGTCAAGCTGTCTCAAAGCCTAGTGTCAGAGAGTACAGTCTTTATTAATTAAAAAACCCCATTCTCTCCTAGAAGACAGTAAGTCACATGTGCGACACCATGGGCCAATACTGGCTTGGGAGCTAGATAACAATGCTGGGGCAGGAGGATAAGGGAAAATAATGGGTTCTTTGCACAGAACACTTGGTTCTTGGAGATCCTGAGCTCCTTACCTGTGCATCAATAATTTTCTGCTTTGCATCGATGACAGCTTGCATCTCTGCATGATCCTTCTTCAGCTCCTCTTCAACTGCCATGAGTCTGATGAGCAAAAAGAGGTACAAATCAGGACAGTTTAATACTATTCCAGAGCATTTCAGGCACTCTGGCCTGTTGGTTTGACTTCTCTGATTATCCTGGCTCTGCAAGAGAAGAATTCTGCTGCGCTCAGAAAAGCTTATCTACGCATCTGACACTCCCAATTGCCTAACCTTGTTATTCTCAAAATGGACATTGCCAAAAATGCAACTGCTCTGAAAAGCTACTGCCTCGAGTACAGATTCCAACCAAAGCAAAAAGACCAGTTACAAGTCCAACAGAGACCAGGGTTAAAAATTCCTTTTCCTCACTCTCCTGGCAATCTGAAGCAAGTTTCCACACCTGCACCCCCATTTCTTCATCTCTAAGGCAGGACGGTATCAGTCTGGAGATGTCAAGAAGCCCATGCAACTACCTTTTTTAGTGTCAAAGAGAACAGATGACACAGGGGAGCTGCTTGTCCTACACAGTCCCAGACTTTCCAAAGCCTCACCTGCTGATGATACTTTTCATCTGGCTGTCCTTCTCCTCCTGTTGCCTGCGCAGCCTCTCCTCACTGTCTTCCAGCCTAGACTTGTACTCCATCAGCAGCTTCTGCATTTGCTGCTCTTGCACCAGGAGCCGCCGCTCATACTCCTCCAGCCGGCGACTTGACACCTTCAGGCGCTCCTTCAGCTTTGCTATCTCTTGCTCATACTGTAGGTGGAAGGAAAGAAGGAAAGAATCAGATGCAAAGGAAAAAGGAAGAAATCAGTTCATTATAATTTTCTGCTGCTGTTCAGAGAAGGACATTGTTTTGTCATGAAAAAGAAATTGATAGAAGTAAAGGAAATGACAAGCAAACAACTACGGGCAACCACAGAAAAAAGCACGAAAGCTTCCATTGAGCATTAAGCTATTCCCACACTGTAGAATGTCATTCTGTAGCACAATTTAAGCAGTCAGAGGGCTCTGACATAGCTCCTCAGCCCTGACTAGTAACATCCACAGTTACTCCAGACTCGAGCAGCTCCCAGACAGAAGCTGCTAATAGTGCTCAACTGTAAAAATGTCCTGGGGTGACCAAACTTACAAAACGGACCAATAGAGCACCCAACTAACTCCTCCTTCAGGACCTAATCAAGGTATGAGACCACTTGTGAAGAAAGCAAATCATTCACTACAGAACAGAGCCTGTAATTATACTTGGCTGAGGTTTTGTTCTTCTACTTACTGTCTCTGTGGACAATCATTTCTGCAATAGTGCAATGAATCTCAACATATTTCACTTTGTTTTGGGTTCATTCACCTTTCCTAACAATCCTATGTTCCTGCTTCTTTGTCCACCAAATATTCTCCTCCCTGCTCCCTGCCTTCTCAGAATACCAAACCTCTTGCTAAACTTTATCACCATAGCAGCATATAGATGTAACTGTATTTGGAAAAATGGTATCTACTCCTGAAAATAAATATGCTTTAAAAAAAAAAGATCACGGACGTTTCTGTGTAGCCCAGAAACACTGTACTACCTAGATGACAGGCACTTGCCTCAGGTGAAGCCCAAGACAAAATTTGAATGCAACTACTGATGGAGATTGGATTGCATTTACAGAGCCTTGTACAATCACTTAGCATATCCTAACAGTCAGGTTAACAATTGTGATTTTTTTTTAAATGGAATTTAATGATCACTAAAAAGTTTTGCAAGCATTGAAAAATGGCAGTATGCTGTAGCTATAGTGTTGTCATAAAAAATAATGACTTGAGCAGGATCCAATACACTTAGGCAGTGTGACTCACGGTGTACGTAAGTGCCAAGTACCAGCCTGTAATGTACAAACTTCCAGCTATGTCAGTTTGCACCCGTTTGACATGCTACAGCCTGTATGTGGGTTAATCTATAGTATGGGATACTATACTACAGATATGTGTGACAGCACGTACAGCAGGAAGTTATGCCAAAACAACCTATGTTTGAAAGCATGACTGTCACAGCAGCGCCTGAAAGCTGTTCTGAACTTGGCTGTGGGGCGGACAGGACTCACTGTCAGCCCTCGAGTCGGCTGCACACAGAATAAAATCTACCTTCTCAGCATGCTTGACTTCATCTGGATTCTGCTCTGCGTCCTCCTCTACTTCTTCATACTGTCCATTATTGAGAACCCACGCAGCTGTCCTTTCCACTGGTGACATTGTTGCAGAGTCCACAGGCGACTGAACCTGGAGCAGAGATACCTGTAAGCATTCTTCAGAGAAACTACATACAAATCAGCTCTAAAATCCCATTTATTTGGACGACAAAAATGACCATGAATCTGTTGCTCTCAAAGGATCCCCAAAACCTCTCCTGCAGAGATACTTCATCTTTCTTTGACTTTGGGCCCACAGCATGTACTTGAGTCCCTCTAAAACCGATGTACTTGAGAAATTTTTCTTTCTCGCTAAGCGAGCTTCTCTTTGGAAAAGTTCTTGTTTCCAAATCCTATTCACTTCCACCTTTCCCCTTTGCCAGATTTTCAGTAAGGCTTTCTCAACCTGTGATTTCTCTCACAAAGAAAACAGAGCAATGAAGCTTTGCTTGCAGCCTGTTCAGGTAAGACAGATTGGTTTCTTTGGAGTATTGAGGAGCTTAACTTGGGAGCAGCTTTCTCAGCGAGGCTGCAGACAGACTTTGCAACGGAGGATGCGCCTGCACGGCTTGATACAAGACAGCACAGCAGTACTTAAAAGTGGCAAAGAGGTGTAACATTATCACTGTAGCGCCTGTCAGATTTAGATGGTCTACTGTAGCATATAAGCCCAGACAAGGCTGTGAAAGGAAGTCAGGGCCAGCAGTGCTCACTAGAACTGTAAAACGTCATCAGAGGCTATCCTCTTTAAGGGAATCTGAAAAGCAAGCCAAGAAAAGAAACAAGAAGCTCTCCCAACCGGCTGGGGAAAATATGGTTTGCTACAAATTCCAAGCAATTTTCATGGACAAAGACAAGTTTATAAGCACAGGAATTAGCATAATTACCCCTGAAAGAGCAACACTGTCTTAACTTTTTAAGAAATGCCGAAGATCAACTTCACCCCCGCCCCTAAACTGTAGCTTCTTTTTGTGCTCAAGCAGCTCTTCAGCTCACTGTCTCATTTCAGTATTGTCCCAAAGTGAAATGTGCTCAGTAGCAGGGGCATTTTGAAGTCTCAGTTTCAGCGGGGAGCTCTTTATGGTGGAGCAACAGCTTCTTTACATGAGTCAGGTGAGGGACCATGTCAACCTCCATTTCTCTTTCTCTTCTTCATGAGGACAGAGCTGGTGAGTGCTGCATACGTCCTACATGAGCTCTGGCCAGAGGATCTGCCTGCCGCGGCTCAGCTGTCCTGAGCAGCGATGAAGACTCCAGCACTGGAAGAAGCCTCAGCAAGGATGGGTATAAAGGCGAAGGAAAGGAGTAGGAATTAGGCAAAAATCCCTGGATTTAGGCAGAGGCCTTTTCGCTAGAAAGAAGTCTTCACAGTGGAAAGGTTAATAGCCCCTTTCAAGTGCAGTGTGAAAGCCTGGCAAAGCTCCTTAGTTAGATTTTTTTGATGGTATTTGCTGTGAGGCAGCCATGGCAAGGGAGACTACGAACTGTGTGCAGCTCTGCCACCAACAGGCTCTTCTCAGAGGTAAATACTCTGGCTCTAGGAATTGCTGGAGGAATTAGGAACAGCTATGGATGAGGAGTGACACCATTCATTGGAGTTACAGAGGACCAAGATAGCAGAAGGGTGATTATAACCTACATCACCAGCCTTGTAACAGACTCCTGATCAGCAGCAAACCTTGCCAAACAATCTTGCAAGCTGTAGGACAGAATATTTTAAGCAGCCAAACTCAGAAAGCCTACAAAGACCAAGTGGATGGCAAGCACTTCACATGCTAATGGGTTATGAGTTAAATTCTAATAAAGGGGAAAAAAGAAAAAGCCTGCTAGTGACGTGTATTAATTCCCCTTTTTGCCTCTCTTCCAGAGGAACACACTGACATTTCTGTTCCCACCTACCTACTAAATGGAAATGGAAGGCAAAAAGTGACCTCTCCCAGCAAACAAAGGGCCTAGCTCTGTATTCAGAAACAAATGGGACTTGTAGAGAACAAAGTCTAATAATTATAACGCCCACAAATCATGCCGAGAAAGAACATGCCGAGAAAGAACATGCCCAGCTTCTCTTTTCTCTTTTTAAATAAGAACAGAATTCCACAACACGATTTGCAATTAGAAGGACGCAATGGAATTTGCCTCAAAAAAATTTTGGCCACTCAATTTGGCACACTTCAAGACATTTCTCAGAGGTGTGGGGAAGGAAAGAACAAATTGATTTCTCTGAATAAAGTACAAGCAACTACTCTAATGAATCCAGCGAAAACAATTAGTATGGAAAGCAGAGTGGAAAAATAAGTAGATGCACGTCACCTACAAGAGGGGGGAAGGAGAGGGCCCTGAAGCCAGTCATAGTCGCAGGCATCTATGAAGCTGAATGTAAAAAGTAACTGGAGAAGAGGGAAGTCTGAGACATCACTTTGGTGCTAAACAAGCAAAGGTAACCGATTTACCTGGGGGCAGTCAGGTAATCAGCAATTTAAGATTAGAAGGGCCAAGGGTTTGCAAACAGCTAATAGAGTATTTCTTGTAAATACACACAGGGCAGAAGCCACCCGTGTAAGGTGTATGCCCAACAAAGACTGGAGACGAAACAGCTGTACTTTCTCCTCCTTATCCTAACACCTTCATAGTAAAGCCTTCTTTGCGTAATTGTGTAGGCACTTCCTGTAACAAGCCCTGAGGAAAGACAGCAACTCCCCAGGGATTTTGGCTAGGACACTGCACAGAACCATACAGTGAAACTCAGCAGATCATAGAATACAGGTTCACACTGGATGCCTGAGAACTGCAGCGGGAGTTCATCCTTCAAATTTATCCTTGCTACTGGCCTAAAAATTTCCTACCACCTCTGCACTAGGCTTAGTTGTATCCAATATACTTTACCTATCAACCCCTCTATGCCAAAACATAAAACACACACTCCAAAGGAGGACACAAACATATGCACTTCAAATAACATGCAATTACTTTTTTTGGTATTACTAACTTGGCATAATAGCCTTTGCTTTGTGATTCAGTGTTTCTGATCTTGTACTTTAATGAACTTGAGGTATCAAAGTAGTTTTGAAGCCTTGATTGCTCCTTGGTTCCCAGGCATCATCCAGATTTTCCTCCTTTTGACTGCAACATTCAGGAGTTTGCCAAGAAAGCTACACCAACAGGGATACCAGTAAAACCTTTGGCAGAGCAGGAACTCACGCTGGCAACTAAATTATTCTGCTAGCTTTACCGTACAAGCCAAAAGTCCTCCCCTTGCATAACCATGTCTTCACCAGCACTTTTGCCAACAGGGCTACATCAGCAAGGAGGACCATAACCTCCTGCTCCTTGCGGATGTAGCTTCACCAGCAGCTTGGTGCAGTCTCAGCCTCAGGGGCTGCAACCTTCTGGAGTGAAAGTCCTCGCTTGTGCCTGTGTGCAGAGCAGCATCCTTTCTAGAAGGTCTTGTGGAAAGCAGGAGCTTAAAAAATTTCCTTCAATACTAGGTAAGGTAAATCAAACATGACCATGTTTGCCCTCACAGTGACCACAGAAGAAAACACTTAACCCCAAGGAATAGCGCAGGTGTTGCCTTCCAGAGACTTACCCTGCGCAGCTGATAAGTCTGTATGCACCAATATAATATTTTGAAAAACCACCACCTTCCCTCTGACCTGCAGATCGAGACATTTTCTACCTTTGCTGTAGTGCCAAGCATTTGAATACTTATTGTCTCTTTAACATTAAACTAATTCAGGAAAAGATTTTCATACACAGCAAATCACAACAGGATTTTTTTTTTTTTTAAGGTAAAGGAATGTTGGCTTTTTGACAGGAAAAATCTTGATTTACGCCTATGAACAACTGATAAAGTGCATTAAGAGTTGGTACATATAAGCATTCCTTTCCAGAAAGTGTTTGCATTATTCATAGTTTGGGATGATTAATGAAAAAGCAGTAGTTATCTGGGGACCAGCGATAGATTGTTGCATCATGGTGAAATATAGATTTCTCCATGCTTAGGACAACTGTACTTCCTTATTATTTTGGCAGCAGTTTATTCTATATTTTATCTTTGTTTATTTCTCTGGTTTTAGGTAGCTATGCTTTTAAATTAGCACCACAGGGCAAATGCATTCTCACGTGGCAATCTTAACTGCAATGTGGAACAAAGCTGCTTCTATTTTTTTAATTCAGGGAAATTTTCAAGTTTTGTTTCTTTCAGCAGGCTTGCTTCTACATTAGTAAATATGAAACTTTTTTTTTTTTTAAATTTAGTAGAAAAGCATCCAAAAGTAATAGGTGAGCTAGGCTTGCCAAGCTTGTTAGGGTAACAAGCACGACTTTTCCTTACACTTGCTACTGGCCACTTGCTTAAGTGCCAGTACTCTTGATTCAACTCAATTCAACTCAAAGGTCAAAAAGCTTTGAAGGTCAATGCAGCAATCAGCTAAACATCAAAGCAGAAAGTGCCTGGAAAAAGGCTTTCCTTACCTGCTGCGTTTGTTGCCTCTGAATGGCCCTCACCTTCGGGACAGGGCTCTCTCTAGAGGACGAGGACTGCTGCCGGGACCGGCTCCCATTCTGAATGGGTTCAGTCACCATGGCCCCCGACACTCCCGACATGCTGCCCGTGCTTCGCAGGGAAGCGCTGTGCGGCAAGGACTGCGGTGCTTTGGCCCTGGCGCCCAGCCCGCCTTGGTCCATTTTGCGGATCTGCGCTTGGCTGCTGCTGTTCTGGCGGGGCAGCGCGATGGGGACGTGCTTGTCTGGGACTGTGTGGCGCCGGGAGAAGTCCTCGCTCTGAGTGCTGCGCTTGGTGAAGTCCTCCATGCTGCTGTTGCTGGGTCCGCTAAGTTTGAAGTCTTCGCTGTTGCTTCGGCTCCGGGAGCTGGCAGTGCTCAGGTTCTCCAGGCTGGAGTCCACAGAGGCCTTCGGCATCGGCGGGGTTGGGTTGTTGAGATGGTAAACCGGGTTCTGGAATGACAGAGGCTGGAGGCTGCCCTGTTGGTTCAAAGCCGGGTGCAGAGGCCTCCTCACCTGGGGAGCGCTCTGGGGTGTGCTCTGAGTTTCCCACAGCTGTTTGATGTTTGCCACCTGCGTGATAGAGAGCTGGCTGCCAGCCAAGCGCAAAGGCACATCGTGCATAATAGAAGCATGGTCACTGTGAGCCGTGTGAGGATCCTGGAGGTCCATGAGAGAGATGCTACGTCCATTGGGTAAGATGCTTTCCCTTTCATCCTTATCTGAGTAAGTCATGCTCTGGGTGGATGCCTGCTGACCCAACAGTCAGGTCTTGCCCCTAAAATATCCATCTACATTTTCCTGGGTTGGAGACTTCAGCTTATGTAAGTCACTGTGGGGTGAAAAGGAATGTGGTTAATTTTTAAGCAGCCTAGACCCAGAGAGATCTGTCCCAGAGAAGTCTTTCTACCTCATTTAACCTCCCCTCATACGAAAGCTTCAAGGAACTAGATTTCCTTTTATGAGCTCTTTGTGTTCAAGTCAGAACACACTCTTCCTTAATTACCACTTATCTTTGACAATTACGTTTGATTCAAGAAGTGCTTCATCTTTCTTTTTTTCCACAGGTGAAATGCAAACCATTCCCACCAAATCCTTCCCGCTTAGACTTAGACACTTCTGTCTCCAGCAAGACTTCAGAGCAGTTCAGATACCATTTAACCCTTCGCCAGCATCATGTATTGTGGGAGTCTGAAGATTCAACAGGAGTTGTGTGAAGGCTCCTGTAGATCTAGATGTAAGCTCAGCGGGCAGACGCTTCCACATGATAGAACTGGCCCTCATACCTGACAGCACAGAAACTACTCTGAGACCACAGTACCCAAGCTCTTTGTCTGCCATGTCACAGCTCTTTGCTTCAGATTAACAAGCTGTTACAGTGTGAGAAATGCTGCACTAAGCAGAGGAGGGACTATTTTTGCTATTCCACTGGTAACAAGTTCCACCTACAGCCCAGTTTTTCCATGAGCAGCAAGTAAGCTGCCCGGTCACCAGAAGGAAACATGATGTCTGACTATGCATCTGGTCACTCAGACTGGCAGTAAATTCCAGAACTGGTTTTTAGCAGCTGAAGTCATTGACTCCTAGAGGCATGTTTGAGTCCTGGGTAAGTCAAAAGCTTCGGGTCTCCAGTGCCACCTTGTGCACCCTCTTACTAGGACTGTGCATTCTCTGTGACAGAGGCCCAAGCTCCCTGCTCCTACAGCTGGCCTGGGCAGACAGTTCAGGTGATGAAGCACTTCACTCTTAACAGGCTGAACAACACCCTTACCCACATCTTCTCTTGAGCTCTGGCTGTTACGTACCCATCAGTGGGGTCCTCAAATATCTTCTGAAGCCCTGAGGAGAGACTGCCACTGACGTTTGGACTAGAGCTGTGCTCAGTGAAACGCCTCAGCTGCTGCTGTATTGGTGTAGGGTTGGTCATTGATTTGGTGATATCAGCAAGAATACGAGGAAGAGGTCCCAGTTTTGCCACGGTCGCCTGTAGGAAGGAATTTTCACCCTAATTGGACAACAAGCACCGCGACATCCGCCAGTTTTTTTGATAACGATGCACAGAGGCGGAGGGGTGGAGGTGGAAGGAAGGAGGGTGGGTGGTTGTGTGCGGGTGTGCCAGGACCGTAATGCAGTGTTACGGAGCAGCGTAACCACGGCGACGAGATGGATGGAGGAGACGAAACGGGGTGCAGCAGACATTGAGGAAAGAAAAGGAAATAGAAAAGAAATTAGGATTGACCCCCAAAAATAAAAATCATGCTCAATAAAACAAAACTATTGCCATTCCAATGCAAAACTATCATGCAAAGCAAACTAAGTCCAGGGTGGGTGAGGTCAAAGTGAAAACTACAGTATCTACTCATTAAAGGGCATTCAAAGACTACAGATTCAGCTAGTGGGGGGAACTTTCCAGGCAAAGGGTGTCATGTGGTAAAGGAAATGCATGCCAACAGACAAGGGGATGCGGCATTCAGGGGGATCATGAGAGAATCGCAAGAGTTGAGGGAGATGGGGAAAGGGAAGGTTTTCATTTTGTAAGCCTTTCGCTTTTGGCATCCTACACTGATGCCATCTTCGGTAGCACCCTGTTATCAAAAACTAAGGCGTTCTTCCCTACTTAACAGTGAAAAATAACTGCATGAAAACAGCAATGATCCCAACATTATCACATCAGCCTGGGATTAAATGTGTAGCTGCTTGTTCAATTATGTGCTAGCTCAGTGTTGGCCAGGCCTAGGATAAGAGCAGCTGACCTTCCAGCAAGGAAGGCTGCTCGTTCAGGCTCTTTATCTTTCTCCCCTCTTTGGGTCACTGCTGGTTATACCATCTACAGGGCATCTTCAGCCTCGTGGGACTGCAGGAAGAAGGTGAAAGTGCTGGAGCTTTAAAATAAAGTAAAACTCTGCTACAAAGATAATGTTCTTTGAAAAGATATCCTTATTTTTCCTGTAAGCAGGTATTCAGTCAGTTTGGCTCCAGAGAAAGGTCTCTTTACAGATGCTTTCGTGTAGCACTTCTTCTGTGTCTGTCAAAATCTCTGAAGTGACTTCTTTCATCATTTCCCAGTCACTACCTACAGTAAAGCAGTCTTGCAATGTAACTTCACCGCTTAATTCTCTTTTTAGTAAACGACTATACCAGCTTCCAAGGCCTGTTAGGATAGATCCATGTGTCTAACCTACAGAAAGGGCAAAGCAGATCTGCTTTGACAGTTTATCCAGGTCTGGCTCCTCCCTTTCCTCGCTGCGCAAGACATTTATGACCGATCATTGCATTCAGACAGCAGCTCACAGTAACTAACACCAAGTCCAAAGATCCATTTGCAGTTCTAAGGACTGGAGCTGGGTTTCTCTTGACCTAACACCTGACCAGCTGGAGGGAGATGGCAGTGTTCCCTGCACTGGTGGGTTTACCCCAATTTGCAGAAATAGAGGACCCAGTCTTTTCAGTGCTCACTTTGCCTGTTTTCCTGAGGCTGCTGAACCATCTTTATAGCTGACTTTTCTGCCTGCAACATTTTGAATGTACACTGTGTGCATGTATGAGGGAAATGGAAAAACAAGATCATAAACTGTTATCAAACTAAGATTAACATATATTGCCTTTTTGAGTCAAGGACATTTCAATTTACTCTGATGCAACAAGCTCAGTTTTTTGTTTTCTGTTTTAAATAATGTACTGTGAGAAAACAGATACCCAACAAATAACTATTTTGGCAAACCTTAATGCAATAAAAATATTAAGAGTGCATTGCAATTCACCTCACCTCTCCAGTTTCAAAAGAAAGAATAATATAAATGGAATATGGACAAAATAATGCACCTCTGAAAGTTGAAATATGGAACAGTTCCAAGCACTTGCAAAAAAAATAATGACTCATAGCTCAGCTTTTCTGGGTCTTATGAACTACCTTTGCTATCAAGGTTTTAATGATTTTTAGATCCTGCAAAGCCACATAGCTAAGGCAGAGCAAACTACTGCCTCTTCTCCTTCTATAGCTAAATGGAAGCAATGCTTATTGTTGGCAATGTCTATTGCAATCAGCAGAACAAAATCTGGACAACGCATATGACCCCAGCACAATACACGGCAGAAAGCATCTTGCTTTTGTTACAGGATAAAACTGAGAGTGGATCCAGGTTTTTACACGGCCCCCTCTTGTATACTAAAAACTAATCCAAGGACTACAGAAATGAGAACATCTCAGCAGGCTTTGGATGAGGTCTTTAATGAGAACAGTTCTGCTTAGCCAACATATTACTCCATCAGAGCTGGGCAGGGTAGGGCCTGGTGTGCAGCAAAGCACCTACATTAGCGTCAAAAAGGGCACTGCAACATTTTCATATTCTGTCCAAACACCCTCCCTTTTTTTCAGCTCACTTATGAGAAAGGACCAGCTGCTCAGGGAATTCCAGGTCTACTTTTAAGTGCTGCCCTCTCCACCATTTAACGCCAGTCCCTACTTAAAGCTCTGCAAAGTGTTTGCACTATTGCTGAAGCCCAACCACTTCACATGCCCTGTTTTAGGCCCTGATCTGAAATCACAGAAAGAACGATTCTAAAATACCACTATCAAACATTCCTCTCAAAAGCTGTTGAATAAGTTCTCCCCAAAGCAGGCTTCAGCTGCTCCCTTGATGTTTCGTAGTGTTTACTGTTGCTACGATACAATCGCCACATTCACCCTCCTGGGCCTCCAGCCTGCTTTACCTTATCAAGTTGGGACACAACCTCCCATAAGAGGGAATGCAAAACTGAGAGCTCTCTGCCCAGGTCGATGTAGCCCTCAAATCCAGGCATGTTTGAGATGGTATCTGGATTAGAGATCTCCAGGAGAAAACGCTTCATTCCTCCCCACTCATGTTCCAAAAAGTCATTCATGAAGGCCATATACTCTTCCTTATTACCAAACCTGCAAGAAAGGAGGAGGAGGGGGGGAAACCCAGTCAATAACCTCCACACAAAATAGAGTATAAGTGCTTACAGACAATTACTTAAATGCTTAACTTTAGACCTGCCTTTCTGAAGATTTGGGCTGGGAGAAAGAAAAAAGAAAATGGACAATTTAAGAGATTCACGGCTTTCTTGGACTTTAATTTAAATACTAGTAATTCACTGTTCATATTATGACCAAGAGCTCAACACATCTCTCCCCCCTCCCTCCCACAGACACTCTTTCTCCTCTCCCCATGCCCTCTGTATCATTCAGCTGGGAATTTTGGAGGAAGAAAGGAGGAAAATCATGATCCTTGGTGGGAACAGGCTTTTTTTCTTTTGAAATAGCATACACACTGACATGCTAATGCATGGCTCTTCTTGGTTTTATACTGTGTCCCCTCTACTGAATTCAACACAGCACAAATCTACATGAGAAAAGGAGATTTTATCTAACTCAGCGCTGAGTCTCAGCGTTCACATGTAAGTGAGAAGTTGCCTCCTTTTCTAAAACTGACTTCAATTTGACAGATAATCAGCTGCCTGCAAACATGACTACCAAGCAGGGCTCTCCTTGCTCCCTAGTAACCTGCAGTGACTTGAACCCCTAGAGGCACAGATTTCAGTTTTATTGCCACCACCTACTTAGCGAAGTTGGCAAGATTCTGAATGACTTTAGCAATAAGTGTGAGCGTGCGAGATGTCCGGTCATCAGGATACTCCTGCATGAGGCTAAAGAGGCTGGGGGACATGATAGCGGGGCACAGGAAGCGGAGGAAGAGGGAGGCACTGATCAGGCGTTCACTGATATCCTGCTTGCCCCTGCTCAGGCACTGCTGCTTCCAAGATGCAAATACCTCCTTCAGCTCACGAGGGAACACACTGAAAAACAATAAAGCAGGAAATAAAATTGCATGGGCAATGAGATGCAACAAGCTGAACTGGTGACCAATCACCTGAAATAATTATCTGCGAGAAATCACCATTGGCTCTTCCCCCCCCGCCTTTTTTTCTCTCTAGGCTAGAAAATGTCATTAGGCATCTATTCTTAGATCCCCCATTTAATCTGGTGATACTTAAGTAGTCTTTAAAGCATCCCTTGTTCATATATGTTGAGTGAAGCCATTTTCAGACACACTGATTTGCAAGCTAAGAACTACTTATCCACCACTACCCTGGAGCAAACAGGGTGTTAGAATGTTAAAAACAAACTGAACCAAGCTGAACTCATCTCCATAACTGAAATTTTTATTTTGCTTGTTAAGCTCTCTGAGTATTTCGCATGTGCTTCATCCTGAAGCAGAAAGGCCATTCTTCTTTCACTACTACTCAGAAACAGAGATTAATAGAAATCTCTCTGCCAACATTTCCTCCCTGTGATTTCCTGTTCAATTATAAAGATCTAAAGGGTCTGAAAGTTTTCTATACACATCAAAACTTTCAGCTTTTTATTCCAAGTTCAAGCTAAGCTGTTATCTTCTCACTTTATTCCCTCCTTATTCAGTCACAGCTCAGTATGTGTTCCCTTGGCAGAGTATTTCAGCAGATGCTCCTGTCAGGTATGGTGTGTGGGACTGGAACCCCTCAATTTGGGCACAAGTTCCACCTGCAATATGGTGTCACATGTAGGAAGGTAATGAGGAAAGGAAACAAAGGCAGTCTCAGAAGATAGATGGGTCTATGCTATTTCCCTGTATAACTGCTGTTTTCTCATCTTCAGAGAAGGAATGGGCATCCTCTAAGCAAATGACCTAATGGGGGAGAAGGGGAAGGGAGATGCCTCACCAGTAAGAATTGATAATCTTGCAGAAGGCCAGCTCACAACACATTTTCAGGTTGCTCTGATGATCTGTTAATTCACTGGATGAACATTTGCTGGGATCCACTTCACAGTTTTCATCTGACTCATACAAAGCCTTGATAAACTCCCCTGGACAAAGGGAAGAGGATGACAAACCAGGGTAGTTACATGAAAAGCCTCCTTGACACACCTTTAAATCCTGCTTATGCCTTTCCTTGGCAAGTGCCTCTTCTCTCCCTGGGTCTGCAGTACAGCCTCCAGACACCAGATGTTGGGGACACGACTCCTCCCAGCTCTTTCAGAACAGAGCACTTGCCATACTGGATCAGATGGCTGGTGCTCTGCTACTTCAGCCTCCTGTGCCCTCACTGCCCCCAAACACAGGTGCAATAACAGGATGGCTTTGCTTATAAACCCTGCAGACACTTCACTTCTAGCCTAAAGAACAGGATATGACTTTGTATTCAAATTGTATTATCAACTATAGAATTATCCACAGTCTTAGAAATGAAGCTGTGCTATATGTCTTCATAATTTCTCCAGGAAATGCACTTGACAATGCTATTTATTTTTATTATTTCTAAATTTACAATTGTTTTAAATTTTAAAAAGTGTCAATTTGCTCTTGAATAAGAGTAATATTCAAGTGCTGGCTAGAGACTTCTAATTTTCTCAACCTCTTATCAAGACCTTACAACATTTTTATAGCCTGCATCTTTCAAAATCCTTTGCATTTCTGTCATCCTTCTCTTACAACATCACAACAAAATTGGACACATACAAAACCAGATGAAGTTTCCTTTGACATATTGGAATGAACTACTTACTGTTTTTCCTCCTATATATGCTAGAACACCAAGTGATTTTTATACTGTTGTTATTCACTAGGAAAAACTCTTTACTCATTCATTTAATGATTCAATGTCTTTTAAGTTCATCTCCTCAGATCATCTTGCTGGCTCTGAGCTAACGCCACAAGGCTTGTTTGTGCAAAAGGGTTTTGTTTTTTTGTCTTTGTTTTCATAAAAAACCCTTAAACACCTCCCAACCCCTGCCCAAATCTCAAGTCAGCAGTGTTCTTGCAAGCAAAGCAACACATTTTCTTAAGGTTTTCTTTGGGGGGGGGTGGGGTGTCCAAAATATTTCTGCTGAGGGCACCTAGATCACTTACTTGCAAAACCCTTGGCATCGCTTCTGTTGAGCCAAATCTGTTTCAACTGTTGTTTACTGGATAATATTTTTCTCCTTAAACACATTTGAAACTTACTCTTTGTGGTTCAGAAGACCCTGCCTTAATCACATATCAAGATGCTCTTACAAACATATTAAATAGCTAACACCAAGTGTAATGTTGTTAATCGTTTCAAAGAACATGGCATCTGAGCAAAATGACATTTGAAACTTGACAAAGAATTAGATGGGTATATCGTCATGAGCAACCTTGCCCTAAGCTACAGACAAGCTGGATGACCTTAGGGGGTTTTCCATCTCTCATGTCTATGATTTACAATCTTATCACTCAGCACCAATGCTCTAAATGATGTATTAGAAGTCATTAATTTTAGAATATTTTTATGTAATTACTGCACATTAAGGGGCTTGCAGTCAAATGTAATATACTGGTCCCAGAGCTGATCATTCAGTCTGCTGAAAAGCATAGCACAAAGTAATACATTGCTCACTTCTCCATACCAGGCAAGAGCCTAGGGCTGTGAATTATGCTCAGCGGTTCCACCCATGAGAATAAGACTACCAGAATGGGCTCATTACACTGAAGAAATGGCCAAAATGCATATAATCACAGACCTGACTATGCTGACCCTTGGAGCACTGATTTAGCCAACTATCTCCTTGATGACTTGCCAGTGTCTGGGATTGCTGAGGACAAGCAAGACTGCTGGGAAAGCAAGCAGCTTGCTTTTTTTTTTTTCGGTGAAAGGATGTGGTGTGGGACTTGGCTTTGGCCTGATCTTGTTTCTCTTGTATCAATTTCCAAAGCTTTCTTCATCCAAGAAACAACAGGGGGATGGGTGGCTCATTGTGCAATCTTGGGTAAGAAAAATTGTGTGGAGTTGGTAAACCTAACTGTAGTGAGGCTGTGAGTTTCTTCAGAAGACAGCATGTACATTTTGGTCCTCTTTATTGCAATATTAGTTGCATGGACCGTAATTCCCAAGGCAGTGGCTTATGACTAGAGCAGAACCTTTTGGTGGAGAGGGGACAATAACACAGTTATCAGAATCCTGTATTACCCTGGCATGTAACTATGGACATTAAGACCCCCCAGGGGAATGGAGTAGGATGTGACAGGCTGGCCAGGCAGTTCTAATGAGGTGGTGAATAAAGAATACTTTGGATGAACACAGGGGGGAGGCTCCCTAGACAGTCTGCATCTTGATCTCCTTCCCTGTGCTGCTCAGTAGCCCTGCAGCCCCACTCCCTCCAGCCACATTTGTCTAAGGATTTTTGTTAGGGCAAGGTACCAATTTAAAAAGGTTAACACAAATGTTTATGAATTAATTGCTCCGTGGCAAAGGTAAGGGCTGAGCAAGTCCAAGGGTCACTCTGGAACGTGCCAGCATCACCAATAGTTGCAGCTGAAGCATCTGGAAATCAGTTTTCTTGTACTACCTGCATTCAACCCAAGTGCTAGGGTGCGTATATCGCACTTAACAATTGTTAACGCCATAGCTAACATTGGCTGTTAACTACAATGGCAAGTGAAAGAGACTGACTGGAGATGCGTCAGCAATATGCACTTGTGGATGAGAACTTGGGTTGTTAACCAGATACCCCTGAGGATATCTAACCCCCTAGGTGGTGGCACTTTGGTCTAAAGTGACTGCAGGAGCTTCTTTAACATAAAAGGAGATTAGTGAAATATATGCTTCACATTCATAACCCTTTCTGAAATCTCCACCTGACTGTACTGCACATGATACCAGATTCACTCCTGACACCACAATATAAGGTATTGGTCTCAATTTCCTCTGTTAAACTTTGTGTCAAAATCCCTTTTTAAAGCCTGTTTGTATATCAGATGGAACAATCACTGTTGCCCACAAATCAATTGCAGTATTATACCTCTTCATCACAACTAGAGACACAAAGGAAGGTTACCCAGAAAAACATAATGTGGTGATACAAACTTTAAGAGGGACTCGGCTATATCAAATCAAGTTTGCCTTTCCTTGGGTGATACTTGTGCAGGCATCAAAGAGCATCTTCCTCTGTGTGGAGGAAGGGCATCAAGAGTAAGACAGCATATATTATGCTATCTGAATACTAGACACCTGGGCTCAGCGCTGAGGCAGTTCCTTCCCATCCCACATTCCTAGGTGCATGAGGCTTCAGTCATGTTACAGACGGCTCAGGGTTAGCCCTTGCAATGCAAACAGGTGACAGACAAGCACTTTCTTACCTAGTGCATCGTGAAGGTACTTCTGCCCTACCAACTTTAGGTATTCCTCAATAGCTTTGGTAGCAAGTGTGTTCTCCCTGAAGATCAAGACATCATGCTCCCCACAACGATCTACCTCAGACATCACCAAATCCGTCAAGAAGTCCTGAAGAAAAAGGTCAAATGGCAAGAGGTTATTTTAACCAGACACAGACATGCCAGGCTAACTGCAGAAGTCAAGAAGGAAGGATAAACAGAGGAGCCAGAGGATGACTGAAACAACCGCCCAGCTTGGGACAAGGGGCACAGATGCTACATGTAGTGTGGGCCAAGGAAATAGCTAGGGCTCCTCTTGGATTTATTGTATTTATAAATGTTATAGATCACAAATTATAAAGGGAGAAGCAAAAGTCTCTAAAAGAAAACCTTTACAGCCAAACTTGTGTTTCAGTTTAGAACCTGAACAGAAACCCCCACCAGTTTGTTTATCAGTGGGTTTGCCTGCTGAAAGAAATGGTGGTATTGCATTCATCTTTTAATACTGAATATTACATAAAAACTTGGATTTAAAAATCCAAGATGGAAGTTAGGCACAAGTTCTTACAGCTTGGTGAAATTTAAATAAGAAGAATAGCTTATATCAATTAAATTCACAAACCAAAAGTGGTTCATGGTTTGGGAAAGAAGTTGACATACTTGCTGTGGGTCTGTATGGCTTAACTTGAACTGTATTAACTTGATGTGAGTCAAGGACACTCAACATTTCACAAGAAATGCTCAGTATTTTGCATGATTCAATTTCAACCACTGTAAAGTTCTCCAGGAGAGGAAGCATATTTCTCTCTTTTTTTTTTTTTTTTAAACTGTTCCAAAAAACCAAAACAAACCCCAGAAAAAACAACCCCAGACCCCCAAAACAAAACACCACCCTGCATTAGGGCTGAGTGATAACTGTGACTTGCTGGTTCTGCTGCAAACAGCAACATCCTCCAAACAGTTCAAAGAGTGCTGTAGTAAGGTTTCATAACCCTATTAACTACAGAAGCCATAATGCACTGCTAGCATATGGGTGTAAAATACGCAGAACAAATTATATGTGATAAATATAGATCAAAAATACATTTAGTACTCTTGGTTTTCAATCCATTATTGCTGTTTCTTTTCAGCAAAATCTTAGAGAATTATTTTCACCTGGCGCAAACTGGAAACATCCAGTTGCATCACCACCAATGTAGTGTAACATGGAAACATACCCTCTTTGGAGCTTTAGGTTATGGCAGCCTAAGCTGCTCAGTGCTTCCAGTAACCAGAGGTTCAAACATTCAGGCACTAGGAAGGCAAAGTTATAACACTAATTTATCTACCTGTTGCAGGTAGCACTGCAGGAATCCAGAGCCTGCTTTCCAGCAGGATTTCAACACAACCCTACAGGAGCTACCCCAGCTACCAGATTCTCTTCATCAGACAAACAACTTGGTAAGGAGCAAGTTCCTATCACACACTGTCACAGAGCACCAGCCTTTCAGAGATGTACATCAAGGGGAGAACAGGAGAGAGTGGCATGTGATTATGCAAACATAAAAAGACCTTTCTGGAGCAGTTAAATTAGGCTGTCCCTTCGATGTCGCTTATGGCCATCCCTCCACATCTCCAACCCTCTAACTTGTGTTTGGTCGTGCTTAACTTGCTCTAGCTGGCATTACTGGAAGAAGTTGGCTATAGCTTGGTACTACTCACACACCCACTTGGCAGGCAGCGTCCAGATAAATCAATGCTTGCTAATGCTTCTCAGAATTTCCCCGAGACCTACAGGATATTCTCTCACAATCTATTCGAAGAAACCAAGGCTCACCCCAACTGCTGCCTCACAGAGAACCATCAGCATGCACCCAGAAGTCCTAACAACATCCTTGGGGCAGGTGGAATCACCATTAACCAAGTATAGATTCCCCAAATGGCTGTTCAAACGCTGACCAAATCAATGTTAGCATTGATTAGCTGACTTAGCACTGAATCAACAACGGCACCCTGCTGCTCATTGTATCAGAGACTTATTTATAGAAGTAATTCTCCAGTTTACTAATCTCTTGCTTACTTATTTCTTATCCTGTATCATGATTTTTGAAATACAGAAAAGGTTCCTGAACACTCAAGCGCAGGCCCTAACTTTTCAGAATAACATGAAATTACATAGTCCTCCCACTTACACTTTGTACACAGCATCTTTAATCTTTGTATCAACCCTTAATCATTGTTGGTATCACGCCTATCGACATGCCTTCCTGGTAGATGCAATTGCCCAAGTCTTTTCAAATACTTTTAAGACCCTTTTCTCAGTCTTACTCCATCAGGCACCTTCTGCTGTTGCTTATGGTCATGCCAGCCCAGGCTCCCTACTTTCTAGCTGAAAAGAGATCACCTATGAGCAGCAAGAGGGAGTCATTTTGACAGGAGCTGACTCTTCTTACCTTAGCTCTCCCAGTGCTCTGAAGAATGTGCACCAAAGCACAAGCCATCTCTTCCTTATTCCTTACGCTGATCACAGGTTCCAGCACAGAGCACAGCATAGTGTAGTTGCTGGTAACAAACTCTGCAAATTCTTTGTACTGCTCCATGGGCAAGATGGTGATGGTCTGATAACGGGACTTTATCCGAATGGAAGGTCCACCCGATTTCCCTTTGTTGGGTGTGGGTGTGCTGACTGGGTACCATTTTTCCACAAACTGGCGACCGGTTACACTGGCCATGGGAATGTTGACCAGGCCTACGTAATTGTTCTTGTCCTTTTTCTTCTTTTTCTCCACATCCTTGTAGATGTGAACTGTGATGCTGTGAAGAGGTGGGAGACCGTAGAACTCAAAGTGCTCTCCCCAGAAAATGTTGTCCGCTTTTGTTTTGCTGGTAGTGCGGGCAAAGAGAGTGTCATCCAGGCACAGCTCACAGAAGTATTTCTTCTTGGGGGCCAGGTCCTTTGCCTCAATGATCCAGAGACGGAGCACATTTTCAGCTCGACGGCAGTTGTCCTGTGCAGAAGAAAGAGCTCAGCTTTGATTCAGAATCTCTGAAAATTGAACATTTTGTCTTCTAAAACAGCAGCAAAAGGCTGCCTTTTGTGTCCAAGGCAGGGACAGAATCAGAACGCAGAATCAGATTCTCGGATCCTCAGAATCAGAATCTCTAAAAAATCAGACATTTTCTAAAGTAAAGGCAAAAGGCTGTCTTTTGTATGTCAAAGGTGGGGACTAGAACTTTTTTCTTCTCAAAAAGCTGTATTTGAAATGGTTTAGAAAACAAGCATTCTGCACAGGAGCCCCTCAAAAGCTGCTAGACTTGCATGGTACACTGCATTGTTTACTTTTGTGAATAACTCCAAGAGCACTGTTAGCTTGTCCCTCGAAGGTGGTATGCCCACTACAGAGGTGACTTATCAGATATTTCCAGCTGATCAATAACTTGACCCCCATTCTCACTCCAACTCAAACTGCCTTTTTTTTTTTTTTTTTGGTCATCCCCCCTTCCCCAAACTGTGTCCCCACAGTAAAACATGAAACCTATGAAGCCATGTTCCATTCTTCTGAGGTGCACGGTATCACAAATCCAGTCTGAAACATCATAAGCAGGCACTGGGGCAGGGATCAGGAAGCATGCAGACATGCATTTATTCATTAAAGGTTTGACCTACTGCACTTGCTAGAATAGTACACAGCAGCTTTTGATACACTGATAAGCGGACTTCTCCCCAGACTAAATTAATTGCGCATGCATCTGTGGGATGCCCTGGTACACTGGACTAAAATCCAATCATACCACCTCCATTCCCCCGGTAATCTTATTTCCGCAGTTTCTATTACCTTATTTGGCTGCACTGTTCTGCGTAGGTTTTCCATCCACTTGTCCCTCTCTGCTGCAGAGGAACAGCTGAAGCATTTACTGCCACTGGAGTAGGTTACCTGGAACATATAAATGACAGGCTGAGTTCAGGCAAGCCTAGGAGACATGTAAGAGGCTGCAAAAAGCAAGGAAGAAGATAAGCAATGCTTGAGCAACAAAGTAAATATGAAAAAGGCAGGAAAACAATATGGGATCCTAGAAGGCAGAGAGGTTAAAAGGCCCACAAAATGTAGAGAGAAAAAAAAAAAGTCAGTTCAAATTAATATAAAACTAAAGAAATGTATGAGGAGCACCAGAGGCTCCTCTTAAAGACTTTTAAACAAGGCTTTAATCAACCAGTTGGTTTGTTTTTTTTTTTAAGACTTGTTAAATGATCCATAGCTATTAAATGCTTGCAGTTTTCCCCATTAAGTCCCAGAGGCAGATGATTTGGTTACTAACAGCATACAGACAGACAGAACTAACAATGTATTAATACAAGGCAAAACACACTGAAAATGCTGTTTTCGGTAAATACAAAATATTTCCAAGGGTTCACATATATAGCAGCAGTCTAAAATGAGCCAAAGGAGTTGTGCTCTAATCCGGCCCCGACACTGGATGCAATACACAACTCTGCTTTCACACAGGATGGAAACACCCTGGTTTCACTTTTATGTGGCCTGACAAGCTTCATTTACTCTTTCCATTCATTTGTGCACACAATTAAAAAGCAGTTCGAGGCAACAGCCTCAGAGCCAGTTTTTTCACTGAACTCCCCAAACCTAAGCAAGCTGGAAAGAGCTTCCAACCAGAAGAATGAGACTGAAGCAAACAGGAACAGTTCCTGGATACATCCCGAGGGAGAAGGGCCTGATATGCTGGTTTTCCGCCAGAGCAGTTTTCCAGGTGGTAAACAGATCTTTGTTCCAGTAGTTTAGACACATCTGACTAATCCTGCTGA